GGGTCTCTCTCAAGTCTCTAGGTATAGCCGTTGTTTGTGCAGCTACTGTTCCTGACGCTCGCTCTCCTCAACAGAAAAGCAAGGGAAGTACAAAGTGCTTTCATACCCAAATAGGGACAGCTGTCAGAAGGAAGAGCCAGCCGGAGTAGCCTTGGGCAAACTGCACAGTCCTAGAATGCTCCCAACAGAAGGGAATGGTAAATCACTGCTGAGCACTCCGTCTCTAGGAAACACTTGGGAAAGGCCACCGTCGGCCAGCATCGCCTTGATGGCATGCCGTTATTAACACGGAAAGAGGATAAAGACAGGACAGTGCTGTCTTAAGAGTCAGTGAAGGGCCAGAGGCAGCTGCTGGCTGAAAGACAGGAGTCCCTCTTCTAGTGAAGTTCAAGTTTATTGTATTAGCTAAAAGCCGTCACAATTGTTTTGTTTACAAATATGACCAAATAAAATCATGATAAAATCACAGACATATAAAATAATAAGAGACCCTTTGTATCTGGGAGTCCCCCGCACAGCTGATCGCGATGACTTTCAGGAAATTAGCTTGAATATTTCTGGCCGCTTCTGCAAACAGCGCTGTTCTGTATAAGGGTCACAGTCCAAAAGTAACCTGACCACCTTTATCAGAGGGCTTTTCTCCTGTAGAGCAGCCAAAATGTGACCCAGGAGCTTTTCTCGGGGTTTTACAAATATGACCAAATAAAATCATGATAAAATCACAGACATATAAAATAATAAGAGACCCTTTGTATCTGGGAGTCCCCCGCACAGCTGATCGCGATGACTTTCAGGAAATTAGCTTGAATATTTCTGGCCGCTTCTGCAAACAGCGCTGTTCTGTATAAGGGTCACAGTCCAAAAGTAACCTAACCACTTTTATCAGAGGGCTTTCCTCCTGTAGAGCAGCCAAAATGTGACCCAGGAGCTTTTCTCGGGGTTTTTGATAGAGCTGACAGTAAAGTAAATAATGGACAACATCCTCTATCTCACCTGCTCCGCAGATACATAGCCTTAGATGTTTAGGGACAATCATATACCTGCCGTCTAAGACAGCGGTTGGCATAGTTTGGAAACGGAGTTCGGTGAATGAGTCCCTCTTCTAAGATGGGGACGCAGAATGTATTAAGAAAGACCAAGGAGGGCGAGTTTCCATTCAGACATGAATTCTACAGAATGATCCTGGGTCAACCACTGCCTATCTGTCTATGTTGTATGTTGATCAGCCAGACCTCAGAAATCACACAAAGCAGTAAAAGTAAAGTTATGGACATTAAGAAGACTGGTGCACACTTGTGCAACCTATTCGAATCTGCAGAACGGAGTTATTCCTGGCAAGCACAGGAGCTGGATGGAAGAGCATTTCATCTTTCTTTCTAGCCAAAGCCCAGACAGGCCAGGGAATGTCCAGCCCAGCAGATCCAGCCCCTACCCTGTACCTTCTTAGCCCCTGCAGTTCTTCTGGGAAGCTGAGGCCGCGGAGGAATCATTTCCTTCACCCTGTGAGGAGAAGAAAGGAGGTGCGAGTAACACCGCAGCCGTTACCACTTAGAAGAGGTAAGTCCTTGTAACGATGCAGGGGATTGTGATGGCCCAGTTGCTTCTCTCTTGGCGCACTGCTCCCCAATACAAACCAAATCCTACACGACGTTGTGTGCTGATTTCTCAATAGCAGATATTCTGACATAAACAGCACGCAGAGGACAGTGAAATGGAAATAAGGTGGTTTCATAGTGGAAAGGGTTCCCCAGCCAGCCCCCCACCCTGTAAGACCGCAACCCACGCGCACCGGCTCGCAAGTTCCTCTGGCAGACGCTTGGGCACCAAAGCTTTGTCCAGTGCAAACTCTATCACCAGAAAGGTCCCGCTTTCCACGTATTGCTGAAAAGACAAAAGGGAGAAGCTGTTTCTTAGCACCAGGGCTTAAGACCTTAGAGCAGTGGTCCCCAACCTTGGGCCTCCAGATGTTCTTAGACTACAACTCCCAGAAGCCTTCACCACCACCTCTGCCGGCCAGGATTTCTGGGAGTTGAAGTTCAAGAACATCTGGAGGCCCAAGGTTGGGGACCACTGCCTTAGAGCATTTTCACACAAGAAGTTCAAAGAGTGCCTGAATCTCCTTGTTGGCATCATTATCTCTTGAGCACCACAGATGAAGTGAAGGAAATGTATTCATAACGGAGAAAGCGTTCTAGCAAACACAGTTTCAGCTTATGGCAATGGAAGGATAGATAAAAACATATTTGGGCTTCCCTAGCAGCTTAACCACACAAAACATTAATAGTACTTTTGTTGCAAAGTTTTGAATTTTTGGTTAAATTCCTTTAGCTGCACAGTAGAAGTACAGAGATTCACAAAGGAGAATAACTGTTACCTTAAGTGTGTCAGTCATTTACTCTGAGACATTTGTAGGGCTAATCATTGAAAAGTTTCATTACTTACAGTTGTGAATGGATAAAACAGCAAACAAACCGACTGCTTCCAACAGAAAAAAAAGAGAGGGGAAAAGGACAGTGCAGAGAGGCGGCCCTTGCTTTGAATTCAGGGACAGGGAAGGAATGGTTGGCTAGTGCTGGGTAGATTGACAGTCGCCCCAGCCAAGAAAAGTTCCTTCCAGTCAATGCTACTAAAGGTAGCATGAAAAGTTGTAAAAATTCCAAAAACTTTTGGATGGCTATTTGCGTTGATTAATAAACTGGAAACAAACATGTTCACCAGTCAGGGAATTTAAATCTTATGGCCCAGGAACTGAACTCTGTAATGTCAAATACAAGGAAGAATGTTGTGGGGAACAGAATGTGTGCATAAGAGGGAGAGAGAGACATTATGGCCTCAGTCCAGCTACTATCCCAACTAGATCAATGGAATTTACACACGTGTTGACATCCCTCTCAGCAAAGGAGTAAAAGGGAGTACTCTAGTTGGCACTACCAAGTGGATTTCGTACAAATGCTTTAATTGAAAGTTATCAATTTTGAAAAATGAAATATACAACTTTTAAATTAATAATTACACAAAAATTGTAAGTTGACATACAAGTGTTGTTAACTTTTGTAAACAAACTTCCAAAAACAAAACGTGAACACCTGAGAAAACAATCTACGCTTTGCATCTTCTACATGTCAACTCACCTACTGCTCACTCGCTCAACCAACACTCTTTGATGTAGTGTTGAGAAAATTGCACTCTGCAGATGCTCAGATATACTATTATTAATTGAGAGGCTTCTTGTGACCCAGGGCTGTGCCACAAGCATTTAAAACAGACTCCAGACTCAAGAGCCAGACCTGAAGGAAAAAGTCTCCTGGCATTCATTTCAGAAATGTATCTTACCTGCCCTTCTATGTTCTGGAAGACAGAAACAGCTGCTTCGAGGGTGGTATCTGATGCGTCCTTTCTCACAATGGTGGATACCTTGAAACAGAAAGATCAAATATGTTCTTTAGCGGTTTAAAGACCATTGCCTCGTATTTAGTACCATTGGTACGTGGGATGCTTCTGTAAATTGCAACTCACGCTTATGCTAGAACTGCGACAGCCGCCATCGGATGCAAATCTTCCTTGCGGCCCCCACAAATTCCATGCCCAGGGCCTCAAACCTCATTGACTACCAAATCTTTGCTCCCTAGAAGTGTTTAGAACCAAACTGAAAAAAAAGGCTGGAGACTCCCATCCGAACCATACGAAGTACAACTGGACGAAACCGGGACGGTGCTCCGTAGTTTTTCAAGATGGGATTCCTGAACGAAAAGATCATTTCTAATCCTCCCCATTGCTCTGGGCAAAGAGGTTGATGATGAAAGGGGCTCCCCAACAAAGCATGTGCAATTCTGATCTGCAAGACTGGAAATTAAGGCACATTTGCTTGCTCCTTTCCCTCCTTTCTGTTCTCTGGCCATTATTTCGGTACTGCTCCGAGAACGGCAAAGCAAATTTAATAACGAGAACATTCCCATCATCAGCGAGCCAACTTCCCCTTATTAAATCCCTTCAGCCCTGATAAATACTGAAAATATTTCAATGCCAGCAAGACACACATTTATTTGTTCTTAATCATGCGGGCAGCCCCTGAAGTGGGAATTATTAATCTGCTGCAAATTCTTTGATTGTTTTTCTGCTCTAACATTAGACTTCCTATCAGGCCACCTGACTTTACTGAAAATTATTCCAATGGGCCACAGTTCGGGGGCCTATCTGTTCACCATTACCTTTTGCCTGGAACACCTCCTCCCCCCCCCCGAGAGTTGAGTACTCAGTTTACCAACCTCGGAAGGGTGGAAGGCTGAATCATCCCTAAGCCAGCTACCTGGAATTGAACCCAGGTCGTGAACAGAGGTTTCACTGCAATGCTGCAGTTTAACCACCGCACCCTGAGGCTCCTGTACAAGACAGATGTGCTCGCTCTCACTTTCCCTTTCCCTTGCTCTGGCTGGGCTAGGAAGAAGCATACAAAAAGCTGGGAGGTGCCTCATTCATCTTATTCTCCTCCTCACTCACCACCTAGGAAGCCCAGATATTTGTCAGAGAAGACCCAAACGTTATAAAAACCTGATCAGCAATCTTAAGACTCTTTCCTTCCGACAGGGAATTGTTCTCACAGTGAGAGGACAGGGAAAGGCCAAGTATAAAGCAACTGTTTGAGTCTTCATTTTGGCTTTATTTTTGTAAAAGAAATCATAGCACGGTGTAAGACGTCACGTGCCATTGTTCCTCTTAGGTTCTATTTACCTGATTTTCAGACCTGCTAAGGATCAGATGGATTTTTATTATGTCCTGATATGTAAAAGCACAGAATTCAAGGAGGGTGTACTTTCTTTTCCATATGATTGTGGGACTCAGCAGTTTCTCATCTGGATTTGATCTCTTTTGGGCTGACTTTTCCTCCATTCTCACCTTTCGGAGCATAATCTCTTTAGGAGGCTTGTCCTCCTTTGTGTTCTTCCCAAGGACCCCTCTGGTATGCGGGGTGTACATCCCTACAGGCCCAAATTTATTCAGGGCTGCCTGGTAGCCAACGTCACGGAAGAGGCTGAAGAGACACTTGGTCTGAAACAAAAGAGGGCGGAGAAAAACTATAAAATGGGAGGCAGAATCTACTCGCATGGTTTACACGGTTGCAAATATTAACTACCTCCAGGCAATCAGAGCAGGAAGCTTTACAAAATGTGGTATTTCCAATGTCAGATTATAAATGGCTAATACGGACTTACCGTATTTTTCCGTGTGTAAGACTATACTTTTGTCTAAAATCTTTAGACTAAAAATTGAGGGTCGTCTGAGGGGAGAACAAAAACAAGTGGAGGGGAAAGCAGGGATCAAAGCAATTTTATCCCTTCCCCCCTACACTTGCTAAACCCCACTTAGATTTCTTAATTTTGGATTAGAAAAGCGGTGTGTGTGTGTTTTATACATGGGATGTATTATACGCGGAAAAATACGGTAAGTGGACTACTCCAATATTTGCAGGCTGATAGGTTTTGTGGACTAAATTATTTGAAACATTAGCTCTGTCTTCCGCTTAGAAGGCCTAGTTTTATGAGGACCTATTCATTTATTTCAGATATTTCTGAACAACTATCTCTGACGGCAGCTTGTCAGTTCTGGTTCCACCAAGACTTTTTCATTTATTTAAAATATTTCAGAACCATTACCTCTGCCTGGGATTCCTGCCTTCATCAAGAGGTATTTATTTAAACTACAGTGGGGTCTTGACTTGAGAACTTAATCCGTATTGGAAGGCGGTTCTCAAGTCAAAAAGTCTGTAAGTCAAGTCTCCATTGACTTACAGTGCATTGAAAACCGATTAATCCCGTAACAGGCCGTTTTTGTTCCATTTTGGTTTTTTTCTGGTCTGTAAATCAAATCTCAGTCTGCAAGTCAAACCTAAATTTTGCGGCCAGAGAAGTCTGTAACTCAAAAAGTCTGTAAGTCAAGAGATTCCTGCCTTCATCAAGAGGTATTTAAACTACTATTCAAACTCTGTGATCCACGACTCTGTAGTAAGGATGTTTTAAAAATACATAGGCGGGTCGCATGACACGGATTCTGACCTTTTCAAACACCTCGCTGTCATGGTAGGGGAAAACCCGGAATGCTCCGCGGATCCTCTTCACTCCAGGATAAAGTAAAGGCACCAAGTTGACGAAAGCCACGCCGTGAAAGGATATTTGCTCTTCCTCGCCGGCTGCGCCTCCACTCGCCCCTCCTGCTCCTCCACCTCCCTAGAGATGGACGGACGACGATTTAGAAGAGTCTCCTCCTCACTTGCAGTAAACACGAGGGGTGCTTGGGCTTACCCAAAGCTGGAACCACCTTTGCTTGAGTTTCAGATACAGATTGCTTGAATTTCTTATGAATACTCTTATTATTTCATACAAATACTCTTATCTGGCTTACAGAATCATACAATCCCAAAGCGTGCACATACAGAAGGACCCCTGTATTCTGTGGATGATTGGTTCCAGGACACACCCACCTCGCAGATGTTGAAAAACACGGATTATAACAAACGCTATTTTAATAGCAAATACTGTCCACAGCATGGTCTCTGGCTCTAGTAATTTCATCCTTAGAAATGAGTTTTCTTTTAGTATTTTTAATATTTTCAGACTACGGACAAGTGAATCTGTGGCTACCGATCCCACTGGCTCGTGCTGACGTGCGTTGTGGCTATCGATCCCACTGGCTCGTGCTGACGTGCGTTCTGCCCCCATTAATGGCAAGCAAACGTTGTCTTTGCTCATTTCGATTCACGAGGGGTTGACTTGCCGCTAGAAGGCTGGAATTCTTTTACAAAGACTTGAACTGTCCTCAGATTCATCACTTCTCTCGGGCACCAAGAGAATCAAAGGCAAGCCATGTTTAGAGGCACATCGGCTTCTCTCTTTCAACTGACCCTCCCAGGCATCTTACCTTCTCTCCCTTTCCAGCTTTTCCTTTCGTGGAGGTGACCACAGGCACTCTGGTGATCTCCACGGGCCAGCACCAACAATCGGCAATCCGCTTGCGGAAGCTGTGGCACAGAGAGAGGCAGGGACCCCATCAGCCATCATGATTCCAGCTTAAATAACACCAGGGACAGCGATAGGTAGATTTATTTGCAGGCCACTGATGGCCAGTGTTAGAGTCTTGATTTAGGACTGAGGATGCCTCGGTTTCAATTCTCTCCGGCCAGTGTTGCCTACGGGTTAGAGTCTTGATTTACGACTGAGGATGCCTCGGTTTCAATTCTCTCCTTGAGATAATTCCCTTCAGAGGTTCGCTGCATGACTTTGGGCCTGTCCCTCTCACTCAGGATAACCAACCTCACAGAGTGGTTGTCAAGATAAAAAGTGGGAAGCAAGAGAACCATGAATGCTACCTCAGAGGAAATAATATTCAGAAATAATATTCACAGGCACCAGGGCCAACCAAAACAAAAAAAGTCATAACATTTTCTTTAGAAATTACATTGAGCTTGATCCTAATACAGTGGTGCCCCGCTTGACGACGATAATCCGTTCCATTAAAATCACTGTTAAGCGACATCATCGTCAAGCAAAAGAAAAAAAACCATTGAAATGCATTGAAAACCAGTTCAATGCATTTCAATGGGCGAAATACCTCATTGTCCAGCAAAGATCTTCCATAGGGGAAGCCATTTCGGTTGCTGTCTTCCGGAAATAGGTCCGGAAAACAGCGGACGGCCATTTTGAAACCCGACAATCAGCTGTTTTTGATCGTCGTAATGCGAAGGATCGCTTCCCGAATCAGGGAACCGATTGTCGTCAAGCGGATTTTCCCCATTCAGTCATCGTTTTGCGATCACAATAGGGATCGCAAAAACCTCATCGCAAAGCGATTTCATCGTGAAGCGGGGTAATTGTCAAGCTGGGCACCACCTCAATCATCGTTTTGCGATCACAATAGGGATAGCAAAAACCTCATCGCGAAGCGATTTCATCATGAAGCGGGGTAACTGTCAAGCTGGGCACCACTGTATCTCTTATTTAAAAGAGGCCTCATCTACAGTTTTGCATCCAGTTCTGGACACCACACTTTAAGAAGGATACCAACCAACTGGAGCAGGTTCAGAGGAGGGCAAGAAGGAGGATCAAGGGACTGGAAACCGAGCCCTAGGAGAAGAGACTGCAAGAATTAGGCATGTTGGAGAGAAGATGGAGGAGAGAAAGGATAGCACTTTTCAAATACCGGGAAGGCAGTCCTACAGAGGAAGGGCAGGATATGTTTTCGTCCAGGACACATAATAATAGGCTCAAATCACAGGAAGCCAGATTTAGGCTGAATACCAGGAATACCTTCCTAACTGTTAGAACAGTATGAGGATGGAACCAACGACCTCGGGAGGTGTTGAGCGTTCCAATGCTGGTGTCATTCAAGAAAAAATTAGACAGCCCTGTGTCAGATCTACTTTGATTTGGATTCCTGCCTTGAGCAGGGAGTTAGACTCGATGGCTACATAGGCCTCTTCCAACTCTATTATTCTACGATTCGATGGAAAAGCCTCCCTGAAACAGGTCCCTGTCAGCCACACCTCAGCTCTGAACAGAGGAAATGATTAAAGGCAAAGCCTCCCTGAAACAGGTCCTCGTCAACCACATCTCAGCTCTGAACAGAGGAAATGATTAAAGATTTTTTTAACTTGCGGCAATTCACATCTAAAAATTGGGCCATTTTTGTAACTGAACAACAAGATTTCAGCCACTGAGTGAATACAACTTGTTTAGTTATTACTTACGTAGGTCCTATTGATTGAATGGGTCTACTCTAGTTGGGTTTATCCACTGGATTTTACCCAAAAGAATTTCTTAGGCAATAAGCAAGATTTCCAGTGTCCTGCGTTTATTCTCTTAGATTTCGGGCCTATAGGATAGCAGGACATATTTCCAGTGAGCTAGAATGTCCTGCTGTTTTGAGGTTAGCAACCCCTAGCAAAAGGACTTGATTTTTCTCACCAGAGCACAGCTGCCGGATCCAGATAACAGCGCCGTTCCACGTCCCACACAATCCGCTTTTTAACTGTTTCTCCCAGAATCCTGGTTTCACTTTCCTTTTAAAAAAATGAAAGGAGGAGAGAGAAATGATTTAGAGAATCCAAAAATCTGCATTGTCAGAAAACTGAAAATTCTGATCAGGAAAGTCCCAAATTCGACACTGCAAAGGTTAACTAAATGTGCTTCGATTTAATACTGGGAAGAGAAAAATGGCAGGCGGCAGAAGGGTGGCCAAGTGGATTCAGAGGGGTTTCTTATAGATGTTGGATTTCTAGGGTAGGCAGGTGGGGAAAAATAGAACAGGGAATGAAGCTGGTCTGGGAAAAAGCCTGCCCTGCCTCTTCACCTCATCCCCTTTCCGGTGCTGCCTGCTTTTGTCCTGCGCGCTAGACAAGGGGATATTGACAATCATTCCCAGCTTCTGCATTCTATTGGTTATTCAGGATTCGTAGGAAAAGAGGCAAGACTACAGCGATTCCACTTGGGAGGGGGGAATTAAAATTAAAAACAAGCCCACAGCAGAAGCAGTGGGTGACCGTGGGAGGCCACGGATACAATTTACACCAACAGAAGCATTCATATCTGCCAAACCAATGACAAATAAATCAAGTTTGCATCCCCGTTACAATAAACAACCCTCTGCCAGCCCAGTAAAATACCTCACTTCTGATATTAAAAAAAAATGATTCCTGGGCAAAAAAATCCAGACTTTGGTGTGCATCACGTAGCCAGGATTTTTAAAATTGATTTTATTTAGGCAAAACCCAATTCAACAGCAGTTCTTCTCGCCAGCGTAACGGAGCCCTTCGGCCATCGCAGTTCTCACAGTTGTAGGCACCCTTTCCAGCAAGGCTCTGTCCCAATCCTGCCCACGTCACCTCAGGTGTGTTGAGTTCTCCGTTTTCTTCCTCATAAGGGCCTCCAACGATGAAGGAATCCGGGATGTTCTGGCACCCGGGGGCTAATATGTTGGCCACCGGCCACTTTTTTGGACGAGGTACCGGTTCTTTCTCACCACCGAGTTTCAGGGTCCCGTTTCTGAACAAGAAGGGGCATTCCTTCTGCAAAGGCAATAAAAGAAAAGTTTGCATCGAAGTTATCCGAGAACTTGCAATTTAAGTTAACCTGCAGAGTAGAAGATGAAAAAAAATATCCTGTTGGTAAGAGTGCAGAGAATCATAAAGCTGGAAGGGGCCTCGAAAGCCATTGAGTCCAACCCCCCCCCCTGCTCAAGGAAGGAATAAAAAGCAAAGGAGATCTGCCGGGTGGCTGTCCAAATTTATTTTGAAAGCCTCCAGCATTGGAGTGCTCACCACCTCTCGAGGTCAAGGGTTCCAGTGCTGTAGTGTTCTCACAGTTAGGAGGGGTTTGTTTTTCTTGATATTCTACTAAAATTTGGTTTACTGTAACTTGAGCCCTCGTGAGAAGAGAAGACTCCCTGGAAAAGACCCTGATGTTGGGAAAGTGCGAAGGCAAGAGGAGAAGGGGACGACAGAGGACGAGATGGTTGGACAGCGTCACTGAAGCGACCAACATGAATTTGACCCAACTCCGGGAGGCGGTGGAAGATAGGAGGGCCTGGCGTGCTCTGGTCCATGGGGTCACGAAGAGCCGGACACGACTTAACGACCAAACAACAACAACAGGCCTCTTCTTCAGTACTGTGTCCAGTTCTGGACACCGCACTTCAAAAGGATGTTGACAAACTGGAACAAGTTCAGACGAGAGCAACAAAGATGATCAGGGGCCTGGAAACCAAGCCCTGTGAGGAAAGACTAAAATAACTGGACATGTTCAGCCTTGAGAAAAGAAGACTGAGGGAAGACAGGATAGCACTTTTCAGATACCTGAAAGGTTGTCATATACAGGAGGGTCAGGATCTGTTCTTGATTATCCCAGAGTGCAGGACATGCATCAGTGGGCTCAAGTTTGTTGTTGTTTAGTCATTTAGTCGTGTCGACTCTTCATGACCCCATGGCCCAGAGCACACCAGGCCCTCCTGTCTTCCACGGCCTCCCGGAATTGTGTCAAATTCATATTGGTCACTTTGGCAACACTGTCCAAACATCTTATCCTTTGTCGTCCCTTTCTCCTCTTGCCTTCACACTTTCCCAACATCAGCATCTTTTCCTGGGTGTCTTCTCTTCTCATGAGATGGCCAAAGTATTGGAGCCTCAGCTTCAGGATCTGTCCTTCCAGGGAGCACTCAGGGTTGATTTCCTAACCAGAAGAGGCCTAACCAGTGCCAAATAGAGGGGAACTTAGCATAACTGCTTAAGACCCAGAAATGGAATATACTTTTAATGGAAAAAAATAAGTATTTACAGGGGATTAGAAGTCAGAAACCTGATTCTGGGAATGGCACAGCTCTCCTTTTTACATGTGTTAACATCTAGGGGTTACATGCGGTTGCACTGGGGTTGCTATCATCCTCCAGTTTGGCTGCCGAGCTGCCTTAGGCAGCAGCCTCTGAAGATAAGAAAAGGGCCACTAGAGGAGAACAACATAGAGATCTGGGACCACAGCCCTCCACTCACCTCTCCAACGGCCGGCACTTGAAAGCCGACCATGTAGTTCTGCTGGGGCCCTGCAGGAACAAAGGCTTCAGGGACAGCATAAGCAGCTTCCATGGTCACTCTCAATAGATTGCCCTCAGACAGCTGCATTGGAGATAGTAGACTGTCCTGGGCAGATACTAACACATCGATGGCACACTGCAAAACAAGAACAGAATGAGGGTATGGCCAGCACTACAAACCTATCCCATTCTTCTGAGAATCAACTGCTAGACCCCAAGTCTGCCCTCTTACAAAGCCACTTTCAAGGGTCCTCGGGGAGACTATAAAATGGAAATGCAAGCATCAGGAAACAACCCAATGTCTTCAGGCTGTGAAGATCCTACTGAGGTCTTCTGGTTTTGATTGTCTATGGAACATTTCTTTCATACTCTCCAGACCTCTTCCAACTCTCTCGGCCAGCCAACCACCAAGGGAAAGGCAGGCAGGGAAGAGGTCGCTGGGAAGTAGACTCTCTACCAGTTCAGGAGAAAGAAGGCTGAAAGACGGGCCAAGGTACCACGGCTCTTCAATGGCCACGGCTCACAAACGTTGAGTGTGAATGAAAGAGGCCACCGTGCTTCCATGTTTGGAAACTGGAGCCAAAGGACTATTGATCTGCCTGGGGCTCAGAGGTGAAATCACAGAGGAAGCAATTCTTCTAGGTTCTACAAAGTAAGCAGGCATGGGCATTAGTGAAAGGGAGGAGGGCAAAAAAGGTCCCAAATCTTCTAGGAGCAGTGTTTTCTTCTGCCACTCCTGCTTTCTTATCATACAAATGCTCTCATGTTTATTTTGCGTCGATTTGCTCTTCGCTAAACCGTCCCAGAGGCATGCCAGACATAAAGAAGGAATATCGATAACAGGAATTAAAAAAAAACATGTTTAGGATTGGAAGGCGAACTACACCAATTCTTTGGAAACTGAGAGGCCCGACCTGTTGCTCTACTACACAGTCTAGGCAGTGATTTGAAAGAATGCATCTGAGCCTTTAAAAATATAAATGAGACAAGACAACACCTTGGCATCTGGTCGAAGGGTCTCCAAGGGAGAGCCAGGCACAGGATGCAGTGGGAGTGTGGCATCGAATTGACATGATCCTGCCGAGGAAGAAAACAAAGAGGGTCAAGATTATAATGGGAGCAACAATGTTGGGGGTCTGAAAAAACAGGTTGGGATGGGGAAGTATGATCTGTCATGAACTGCTGGAGAGCTCATTGGTTTAGGTCTCTGGCAGTGGTTCCCCGCAAGACGATTTTGATCCGTTCCATTGAAATAGCTGTTTAGCGAAAACATCGTCTTGTGAAAAGCGTTTCCCCACTGGAATGCATTGAAATCTGTTTAATGCGTTCCAATGGGGAAAATAGTCGTCATTTTTGTAACCACTCACCTTGTAGTAAAGGCAGAAGGTCCAGCCCAGCTTGGCCCAGAATCACCGTCTTCTCGTCTTTCTGCTTCTTCTCCTTTGGTAAGACTTCAATAACTGTGACTGAGAAAGAGTAAGCATAAGATCTGAGGAGCGGCTTTAAATGTTGTGGGTGCAGAAACAATCCAAAGTGTGGCAGGATTAAAAATAATAATCAGCTGCTGCACTGTCTCCATCTTTTCCTTTGAAGGCTCACAAATTCATTCATTCATTCATTCATTCATTCATTCATTCATTCATTCATTCATTCATTCATTCATTCATTCATTCATTCATTCATTCATTTAACTTATATACTAAAGATGCTCAGAAGACACATGCTCTACAAGATCAGGGGTTCTCAGACTTGAATCCCCAGATGTTCTTGGACTGCATTTCCCAGAAATCCTGGCCAGCACAGCAAGCGGTGGAGGCTTCTGGGAACGGCAGTCCATGAACATCTGAGGACCCCAGTTTGAGAACCACGGGTCTAGATCATGTAAAATGTCCCCATTTGTATCTAAATCTCTCCTGGCACAGTGGCTGCCTTCAAAAACAATAACAAGCAATGGTCTATGATTGTGAGGTTACAGACTGGCAAGCCATGGGCTCCCACATTCTCCTCCCATATCTTTTTTTGGCACAGTAAGGGAGTAGGAAAGCTCCTTCACATAATGATAAACCATTGTTTATTGTTGGGCAAAATCTTGTTGTGTGAGGTTATGCTATGTAGATCCGATCAGGCACCATAATTATTTAATTTAAATGACTGGAAAGCTTCCCACCCTGACTCTCTTGTGCCCATGGGAAGCTTTTGGGACTCCCAAGTCAGGCAGCAGTGATGTGGTAGTAGGGAGAACATTAAAAGGAGTCTTGTGGCAAAAGAGCTGTGAAAATGTTTAGTCCAATTTTCAAATCAGTCACAGAATTTTAGTGCCTTTTTTTCTCAGCCTCCTCCCCCTCTGTTTTAATACAAGGGAGACATCAGCTTATCTCACAGAATTGCAATCAAAATGATCATTGTAGTTCCTATGAGTCGAGGAAAACAGGAGGAGAGAAAGATTCTTACTCACATATCAAGGGCTTGTGTGCAATGTCATCTAGACTGTGCTGGCCTTCAGGGTTGCAGTCAAAGGTGGCGGTAAAATTGTATTTCGTGTGTCCTTCCACGGATGTGTCCACTTTTGGAGAGTCACCCAGGAGAACCCCATTGAATTCGGCTCGAATAAAGGTAACTGGACCATCTCCTTTGACGCCTTTCTGTGACACAGATAGAGGTTGTTACTCAGGTGGGCTTCTTTTGCACAAGGACGGATTCACAGCACATCACAACACATAAGCAACATCGCATAGTCGCCTTGCTGCTTCCCTAATCTCAAACCCACTACATGGGGATAAACCACCAAGCTAGAACTCCACATTTTGCACTCAAAGCTCAGAGAATATAAAGAATCTTGATCTGTTGTCTGAATAATAACAGCACTGGTGGATGTCCAGCAGAAACACAATACCATAAGAAGAGCATCATTCCAAAAAGGCCATTTCCCCATCTGCTACCTGCCTCCCCTCTGAAATCATGTACAAAATACAGATGGTCTCCACTCCACATTAGTACAATACCTGTCTCTTGATCACCTTGCATGCAGGATGTATCCACAGGTATTGGCATCTAAGGAGACCAGGTGACTGCATATTTATGGGAGCAGACACCCAATTCTATCTTAGCCTTCAATCATCTCCTGAGACGATCGTCTGAGGACTTCCTCCAAATGTCTCCATCATCAGAAGCAAGGGGGGCAGCAACTCAGACAACCTGCTCTGGGATAGCGCTCAATCCAGGAGGTTGACGTCAATTTTAATATAGATTCAGCTCCAATCAAGTCGTTTTTGTTATTTTTTTTTGGCTGCTAGTGACTTGCCCATGCTTGATGCTTTTTAAAATAATATTCCCTTGAGATCATTTATATCAAAGGGAGATAAATGCTTCTAAAATCGCAGCCGATAAAATCAAACCAGAACAATGCCTTTCACATTTGCTAAGCCTCTTGCTTTTGTAACTGGGAAGCCCATCGAGATAAGCGGTCTCACTTCTATAACACTGTGCTCATTCTGCAGCAGCAAAATACACATTGAGCATCTTTTGATTCAGAAACTTTTTGGCCCAAAGGCCACACTGGCTTCAAGCAAGCAAAGTGGGCCATGATGGATATGCACCTATAGGCAGCAAGCTTGTACAGGTATACACATCATTTACACACCTGCATGGCCGCTTGGAAAGACAACCAATTGTCCAAGGAAGGAGAGGTGGCTGTCTTCCTCCATGGACATTATTCTGCCTCTGCTTGAGGTATGGCAAGAAAAAGAGCCTTTGTTAAGAACAGCTTTTATCTCCGATCAGCTACTGATTGGAGATAAGAACTTTTCCCTGCTTTGGGATAGAGCATAGTTGGGATGAAGAATGAACACAGGCAAAAGATGGCACATCTCTGGTCCAGAGAAGCAAATTTTCCCCTGCTAAAATAGAAGCTGATTGCTCCTGCTTTGCACACACACACACACACACACACACACACACAAAACTATCCTTGCCATCTATAAGTATTACTGAGGAAACATCATTAATATTAAACATCATTAATATTCTGTTCTCTGAAAGTTACTCTGTATTCTGCTTCTGCATCACATCAACCATGACGTGCGTACCTACCGTGAGTTTCAAAAGCAGCAGAGAAAAATCTTAGCCTTAAATTGCACGACCCTTTATTTGGTATCTTTCCTTTCCTCCCTCACCTGTCTTGCCTTTCACTTTGCACCGCAGTTCAAAAGGCTTGGCTCATTAATAGGTAGAGATTGTGTTGACCTAGTTTGAAGATCCACGGTCATGGCGGTAGGCGAACGAAAGGACTAAACTCCAGATCAATTAAGACCCCCCCCCCAAAAAAAGGACATTTACCAAGTCGTGTCCCTCCAGCACGGTAATGCTCACTGGTTTGCCTACATTCGTTGGCACTTCACTATGGTGAAAGGAGGTCGAGGCAGCCATGAGAACATAGATTCTGCGGGTTAACCAAGAGAGCTACATATGTCCTAAACAAAAACAGGGGGAAAAAAACCACAAACATGAGTATATTAATATTCTGCCTTTCCTCCAAGCATCAGGGGGCATAATGATCATGTGCCGCCAAAGTCCTCGGCGCTAGCCCACCCCTCCAACCAGTGCACCACGTTGTCTCATTCGCTGAGGCAGCCATCCAACAAAGGCAATCATCCTCATATAAGATTTGGTTGAATAGGGAGGGGGGTATCTGTCCGTGGTAAGCTAGGAAGGAGCTTTCCCCGGTGAAGTTGGCCATGCCAAGTAACGGACCACCGGTGGGGGGGCATGCCAAGCAAAGCCTCCCCCCCCCCGCCGGGATCCGAATCTGGAGGCTGACCAAGAACAGCACATTGTGAATGATGATGAATACCACCTCCAGCCAGAGATTGTGTCCTTTGTAGAGGCCAGAGGTCCCACCACCCATGTCCTAACGAGGAATCCCGATCCCATTTCTGCAAGCCACGCCATGGCGCTGATGGCCATCTCGACGCCGAGACCAGCCTCCCCCCCCCCCCCGGGCTTGAATGCTGCCGTCTGGACTACAAGTTCCCAAATTGTTCCCAAAATTCCCAAAGGCTTTTAATTGAAATAATATCAACCGTGGGTCATGATGGCAATTTTAGAGGA